CGTTTAAGCGGTTTGGTCATCCGTTTAAAAAATTTGCATCCGTTTAACGCTGTAGCAAAAACGTTTAAACAGTTTCCTTATCCGTTTTAAAAAAATTATTTCCGTTTAACGTTCCAAGGAAAACTTTTAACTGTTTATCATTCTGTTACTGGCAGTTTGAAGTATCAATCTTACATTCGCTCGATACTCGCCGGCTCTTGAAATGCAGATTTATTTTTGTTTTATCTTTTCCGTCACATCCTTGGACAAACTAGTTAAGTTAAAATATCCGTTTGTACAAACGTAGAGCATCGACAGCCAATGAAGCCATTCATTTGACCATGATCCTGCCATCGATCTTGTTTGAACAGTGCGCCTGATCTTGATTACAGATTTGGTGAAATCGAGATGACCCTGTCTTGGTTCTCGTGTAATGGTTTTGCTAGATCGACTACTCTCTATCTGTTTATATCACCTTGATTCATCTTTCTTGGTTTTATTGACAATTGGCCCCGCTTGGTGCGTGACACCGATTGGACCTTTTATGTGCAATGGAACTTCATTGCGCTATTTGACCCTGAAGCGTCTCGGCTTCCGACAAGGTCGCGGCATTGCGTCTGCAGAAATGAAGTTCATTTTCAATGATAATAAGAATAAACAAAGGAGGAGATTACGAGTTTCTCGCAATAGCCGATCAGGATATTTGGCAGCGAAACTATTCGCGGTAAATTGCGCTTATTTCATGAAATGAACACGAAAACGGCAATAGTTCAGACGAAATAAAATGTGCAAGTGTATCTTAGTTATTATTTTTCAAATTATTATGCTCAAATAGTTATCGGTTATCGCCCGAAAAGTTTTTCCGCAAAAGATCTCGCCGGCTCAACGAGAACCGTTTAACATTAATTTTTAACCCTCCGTTTGTCGATTTTGGTCAACCGTTTCTTGGTTTAAGCTATCTGCTTTTTGAGACTTTTGGTCAACCGTTTAACCTTTCGAGCTAACCGTTTTTATTTTTGGTCAACCGTTTAGCAGTTTTAGCTATCCGTTTTTGGACTTTGGTAAACCGTTTAACGTTTCTTGCCATCCGTTTTTATTTTTGGTCAACCGTTTGAAGGCCTAAGATATCCGTTTTTGGAATTTAAATTTTTTTGCCATCCGTTTAAGCGGTTATGGAAACCGTTTAAACGCTTGAGTTAGCCGTTTAGTATTCGTTTAAAACCGTTTTTCTAGACCGTTTAATGGAAAAGAGTTAGTGTCCGTTTTTCCATGGAGGGTCACCAATTTCAGTATTTAGGCATGGTATTTCTCGCGGCTTAGAGTGAAAATTGACAACTTTAAGAATTGCCAGAGTTCTATTTTGGCTGTGTACTTGAAAAGATTTCTTTTGTTGGTAAGGACAAAGTCAATAACTGAGAATTTTGTATATTGAAAATTACACCCATTTTTGTTTTCGTAATGATTCTTGGCATTTTGCGTCCTGAGCCTTAGCGCCAGCACACTTTACGATTTTTATTCGGGGATTGTCGATCCTTTTACCTTCATTCGTAAATGAAAACGACTTTTCTTGTCAGTTAAGGGCTTTTGTGTTTGTATTATAAACAGAATAATACATGGTTGCTTGTAGATACGGAATTATTCTTCTCGTGTTCAACTCGATAGCTCACGAGTGAGCGCAGCGAAGGAGTGAGCTATCGAGTTGAACAAACGAAGAGAAATTACATATCAACGCGCGCCCATGTATTATTCCGTATGAAAATTCGGTTTTGCGATTTTGTCAATGCAAGGTTTTGTATCGGAAACCAGCGTTTTCCGGTTGTAAGTGATTTATTGCAATTTACGATTTGCCTAGCTCTTTTCAGTTTCCGTATTTAGACCAACACTGCAGCAGTGATTTGGAGTTAGTATTCATCGTGAGCTCCGGTTATGCGATCAAAGGAAAAGGTATTCAGTCGTTTAGTACCCACAGTCCTTTCGTACCTAATCATTTCGTAACCAGCCCGTACCCAAATTCAGCCGATTCGCACCCAGTCTGAGTCGGATCTAACCCGAAGCACCCAATGCTCAATATATATAGATTACTTCGTGGGCACGCGTACGGTATTTCCGCATGAGTTGGTGATGTATCAGAAATCGAACGAGTGAAATTTCTAATACAAACCATCAAGTGCGAAAATGCTGTACAAGTGCCCACGAAGTAATCTATACATACATACTGAGATTTTCACTTTTTTTTTTTTGTTTTATTTCACTTTTATTTTCAAATGAGCTCACAAGTCATTCAAATAAAAGTGAATACGCTGCTTTCACTTGCAAAAACTTAGCTCTAAATGCGTGAAAATTAGCTCAAATAGCTCTACAAAATTTCAAACGAGCTTTATTCATGATTAAGTCGATCACTTTAATAATTTTTCAAAAAAAGGCGGTTAATGGTAAAGTTTTTCATTGAAGTTGTGGGCTGCCGTCATCCTCCGACGATTCAAGAATTCGTTTGATTCGTTAGTAGCTTCGTTCCGTAAAAAATTAACCACCTGAACAAGTGCCTGGTGACTGGTTCACAGCGTTTGTAGTTATGTTGAATTGTCCACCATGGAATACGGCTCCACTGAAGGGACTAGCAGAAGGAAACATCGAGGTTTTTATGAACGAAGCCCCTGCTTCGGCCGTCAAAGCGGTGGTTGCAGCAGTGCGTGAAGCATTGTTGTTTTCGTTGCTCGCGGCATTGCATATTGAAGACTTTGAGCTCAGTATCAATGACATATTCTTCTGTTGCTCTTTAGAAACAGAGCTGTAGTTGTTTACATTTTTTTCATGACGGTGACCTGAAAGCTGCATGATGTGAGTGGGGGAACATTGCTGTCGTTAAGTTTTTGTATTATCGTTTTTCTTGCGCTGCGGTTCGTGAGCCGTCGCTTCTTGTCGAGTCCAGCTTTGTTTGCTTTAGTTTTCATTAACGATTTCAGTTTGTTTACCCTCATTGCATTTGCCTTAAACCAACATCTACTAGAGTCCTTTGAATAGTTGAAACTAAGATAGAAAGGGGCCTCGGTGGTCAGCATTGAGTTTAGTCTTTTCTTGCGATAAAGTTTACGGGCTTTTCTAACGCAGGAAATCGTAAACTTGAGATTTCAGCCGTTTCAAAAAGCTAATTTTAGGAAATAAATTTGGCTGCAGAACTCCAAACCCTTTTCAAAATGTTCACACAACCAACGACGAAGCTAAGTTTCAAGTAAACTGATGGGGCAGGAAAAGGAGAATTCGAAGGCGCGAAAACCCAGTACTTCTGACGGGTTCTTCGTGATTGGACGAAACGTTTTCTCCACGCGTGAAATTTTAGTTTCTCTGATTTGACTGGCTGTAAACAGCTATGAACTGGGTTTTGAGACTAAAGATTTCGTAGTGAAAATCTCTCTATGTATGAAATAAACATTCATTCGTAATACCTCACGTGCGGGAGAGTGAACAGGTGTCAGTTGTTGAGTACGACAAATTAGTAAAATCAAGTGAGTAAGATACAAGCAAAATTATGTTGCGTATTCTTGCGATCTTCTTAAAGAAAATTTCAAATCATTGCCTATCGCGAGGTAGGTGCGATATCTTTAAAAGAACAGTCTATTGTTTATACTTCTGACTTTAGTAACCGAATAACAGCAAGTGTAGGTGTAATTATTGTACTTCCTAGGTTGCTGTGATAAGTAATGCTAAGTGGAGTGGAATTTAGTCTGAATAACGCGTGAATAATGCGTGACTTCAAATCAAACGAGTGCGCAGATTTGAAATCACAAGTATGATTTTAGACCAAATTGCACAACAGGAAGTTCAATTATCACTTTATTACATCCATTTTGAAATCGCAAATTGAGTCTCTCAGAGTCAGGATTCTTTAGTCTGTACAAATGTTTTGTTGATCCAGTAGTGAGCTGGTTTAGAGAAAGTTACAAAAGTTGTTTTTCATTTTCTTGAAATTTGTTCATTGTTGTATTTTAGTAAAGCTTCCTTACTGGTTGGGTAAAAGATGCAAGAAAAGATAAGATTCGTGAATAAATCGTACCAATGGGAGCCAATCAGATTACAAGGATTACCATTGATTTCAAAATGAATAGAATAAAGTCTAAGAACTAAAGTTCTCTCCGTGTGTTTTAAGACTTTGCACATTTTCCAGTTGTCCTTTGCTTGATCAATGAAAACATAAAATCGCCAAACTGTCATCAAAGTCTGTCTCGATCCTGAAGCGGTTTATGTCAGTTTTTCGTGGCGCTGAGAGAGATTGACAATAAACAAGCGATAATAAAGCCCGTTTTGTAAAATGGTGATCAATTCCGACGAAGATGCCTAAAATCTGAAAATATCTCGATAAAAAATAAACACTCAAACGTCTTGAGACTGACTGGCATCTAATTTCTAATTTCTTCTTACAATATAAACCGCGAATCACAAATTAAGGTCACAAGAATAAAGGAAATGATCACCATCCAAAGAGGCTCTTGATTGTTAAACATATCATCTTTGTCAGAACCTTAGGAAATGTAAAGAAAACAGTATGGTGAATACGTGTACTGATGTCGTGGTGTAAAGTGTTAATATGGCACAGAATCTGATATTCCCCATCCTTCCTTCCTTTTTTCTTTTCTTGCTTTCTTCTTTCCTTCCTTCCTTCCTCCCCGCAAACACATCAAACGGTGAAGGGGATGGTAATTCCGTAAGCGGCTCCGATAGGACATTTTCGTGCGGTGAATACTTATGCGCAAGTTCAAAAATGAAAATGTCACTAACTTTTCGGGCAACACTCCAATTTCCATATAGATACATTTTTTTTATTATAAACAGTTGTTGAGTAAAGATTCTAAAACCCTTGCTTGATTAACGGCTTGGATATAGGGATTTTGTCCATTGTATGAGGTACAGACGGGCAGGCGTATATATCTTTAAAATAATTGTCAACATAATTTCCATTGAATTACATTCTATACTCCCATGTTCCTCAGGAAAGAACCGAATAAACAATATTGGAAGACACAAAGTTGAACAAATCAATTTTTAGATTTTGATCAATAAATTACACTTAAGCGAATAAGAGAGCAAAGTAATAAACTAAACTTTTGTTTCGAGCCAACAGCCTAGGTTAAGGAGTAGGGATGAAATTCTGGTTTTTGAGTCACCATCCGAGCTACCATCACTTTGACTCAGAGTTAGAATAAGTTACCGATACTCTTGAGAAACGGGTCCCTAGCGTAACAGCAGGACTGAGTTTGCTGTTGTTTCTCATCCTTATTTTTAGGTTTTTTTTTCTCTGAGTGATACGGTTTTCCTCCCTCTACCAAAACCAATACTTTGATTTACAATGATAACTTTCCAATTTTAAGACGAGTTCTAGACTGAAGTTTCAGCTTTCAGAGAAATTAAAATCTGTATAGTTTTTGTATCTGCAGTGGTGATGTAAGCTCATGTTGACTAACATTCACTCATTAGGTAAAGTAAAAGTTATCCCTTTCATTTTGTTTTACTAAACGTTTCAGTAGTCACATCCATATTGTTTGATGATATAAAACTGTCCCAGTCTCTAGTGTCTTTGCTGACGAACACTTGTATCACATAGAATCACATAAAAATTATTTTTCAGGTTTCAGATTTCAGAACCTTAACCTCGCCCAGACATGTGATCATGGTTAAGAACGTGAAGGGAAGGATTAAAAAAATATTCTATTTTTCCGATGTATAACCTGGCACAACATCGGCTCCTCTTTCAATTCGTCTCAGGATCTGATATTTCCCATCCTTCCTCGAGTGCGTTGTACGCACTCGACAGAGCTCCTTCATTCCATCCAACCTGTAACGAAAACGCTTCACCAACCAAGTAAATTTCTTCTCCAGGGAAAGGACGTTTCGCCCATTTCTTCACATCGTGTCGGCTCACGTTGGACCCTGCCTTTGTTTCATGCCTGTTAAATAGAGGCGTGAACAAATCTAAATATATACGAAGGTCTTAATCTCGCTGCTTAAACGAATAAATAGCTTTCTATAATGAAGGGAACTCTCTCGTGCGAAACGGTGGACTAAGTCGTAGTCTATCAAGATTAGGCCGAGGAAAATTCTCTTTGCGAATCACCCTACAATGAACGAGATTTACGGCAATAAAATCACAGAATCTGGTTCCCTGGAACTCAGTCGGTGAAGTAGCAGGCCATTATCTTGGAAGTGGTGAACAACGCGTCCAACTTATGAGAAAATTTCACTTTGAAAAAGTATTTTTGAGTGAGGAAAGTCAAAGACAGTACAACAGACTACTTCAGCTACGAGGTTATTCCTAAAGCGATTTAAAGTTGATCCTAAGGTAGCCTACGTACCAAGCTACTTTATCCCAAAATTTGAACACCATATCCAGTGGATCTGGCACAACTTTATCTGGAAACACTTCTTGGACAGCTTTCTTTATTTCCGCTTCAAAGATTGATCGTGGAAGCTCAGACATCTTTCCCCACTTTGCAGCGCATCCCAACCAGGCATACGACAGTTGGATAATGGCTTCTCCTTGGGGTCCTCGTCCACTTAATAAACAACAACAGTGATGAAGACAATGTCAGCTACCACAAAAAAAATAGTGCTACGCTCCTACTCTTTATGTTTGCTGATTGATATCTTAAAATAATTCTTCATGGCCACCCGACCCGTGAAAGATATATCTCCTTCTCTTTTTTTGTGTTTCCAGCGCTTTTCAATAATAATAACAGGTTTTTATGCTATCCATTCAAACTCATAACCGTAATTATTTTAACATCGGGAGAAAATTAGAAATAGAAGGAATATGAGAGGAAAATGTGGTGATTGGAGGCGTTTCTTTCCATAAAAGTGGGAGCCATGCGAATGCATAAGGTGAAAGAGAGCAAACGGACTAAGGGCAGATGGAGGTGAATAATGTGTTTCTCTACGGTCTTACTCCTCTCTGGAAAGGAGTGATGATTGTCTTTCATGTTACAATGAACGTGACTAGTGACACCCCGAGGAAGTGGAAGTATCAGGGAAGTAAGGCAGCAGCAGGCTCTTCTTCTTTTTTTTTTTTTTTCTTTTTTTTCTTCTTCTGTATTTTCGCTCCTTAAGCCCTATGCCTTCGTTTTAGTTCCGCTTAGCCCATGCGTCTCCCGTTTGGCTTAACGGTAACAAAATGGACCGGCATAGACTATTCTAGTAGTGGTGCTGGCAGCAACAAAGATAATATCAACAAATTTAGGAGTGACAATGGTGTCAGTTTAGAATTATAATAGCAAAAACTCAAGGTGGTCATAGAACGTAAACTAGATAGAAATTCCGCTTTTACTTACTTATAAGGGACTAACACAAGACATGTCGATGCTGACCAAAACGTTTCGACAATTGGCTCGGTTCGGTTCCGTTTGGGAAGATAATCTTCCCACCAAGGAGAACTATAAATGGCCACTGCTTTAAATGCGTTTGCTCCCTGAATGGAACCAAATAAAACATTACTTTTGACATCTGCAGCGACATCTCCCCTAATGGCTTCAAATGGAAGAGTCGGAACAGCAATAATTAGTTTTTTGGCGGACACTTTAAAATGATCCGTATGGACGTCAAAACCATCTGCCTTCCTCTCTAAAGCATTTATTTTCTCTTTTAAAACCAGCTTTGCTCCAAAGCGCTGCGCAGAAATTTTTAATGCTGTTGTAATATCTGATATACCGCCTCTTGGTTTGTAGAAATCGTACGAAAAGTAGCTGACAGCTTCATCGAATTCGTATTTGTCTAACGTACTTTCTTCGTAGAAATCTCTCTTGTCAACGTATCTGGCATATAGTAGCTCGCAACCTTCACTTCCAAGTCTTTCGCACATGAAGTCTCGGTAAAAAGGAAACTCAAGCGCTTTTTCTTTGGTCATGTTCCTCCAAGCAAACAGATACATTTCCAACCACGTCATATTGGAAAACGGTCCTGACATAAGCGTAGAGAAAGCTTTTTCCTTAAGAGACTGAAAGGTGTATGCACGAACACCTCTTGCTTGAAAAAAAATGTCTGTGAGTTTTCCAATAGACAACATGGGAATGTTGAGGCGTCGTGCTAAATCCCTGACAACAAGATAAGATAACGACAAACGTTCATCAATGTTTTAAAAATAAGTAAGAGGTTTTTGGACAGTTGTGCAGTGAGACATACTGAAACGGATAGATAGATAGATAGATAGATAGATAGATCAGACCAAGAAACAAAACAGACAGACGGGGTAAGTTCGATGGATAGATGAACGGTCAGGCGAAAGTAAGCAGAGAAACACTGATCAGGTAGACAGAAGTAATCAAAAAGGTAGAGGCACACAGATAACCACAACCTGCTTGAAATGTTTGAAGTTTCAGATATGGATATTTATCCGCACAGCAGCGTTCGTTCGAATTTTCAAGAATAGGGCAATGGTTATAGTGAGATAAGTCACTCGGCCCTTCAACATTTAACACTACCTCCTCACATCATTCCGACATCATCATCAAGCACTTAGCTATAAATAGACCTAAAAGAGATATTTCCTTACATCACTCTTTTGTTTTTCTTATCCACACGCCAGGATCCTAGATCTTTTGGAAATAAGACAACAGAAATAAAAGACAAAGTTAAATAAGTATAAAGCTTTAAAAAAAGCTAAATTGGAATTAAAGAGAGACTCTCCTCTTCCACAATAAAGTTTGATAAATAAACAGATAAATAAATAAATGAGTAGGTAAATGAGTAATCAAATCAATCGAGAAAACCTTTCTTTTATTTCACCCTTTAACTCCCAGAAATAGTAAACATGAAACTTCTTCTTATAATATTCATACATTATCCAACAAAGCTGCAATGAGAGTACTAAACTGTATCAGGTAGAAGTTTTTATCCTGATCTAACACCAAATTCTCACAGCTAATTTACAAGGAAATGTGTAGCAGCTAAAGGGGAGAATTAACAATTAAATCATGGGAGTTAAAGGGTTAAAAAATATATTATATGTTGTCGTGCGCCTGTTCAGTAATGGATCAATGATAATGTCAAAATGTTGTTTGAAAAAAAAATTGGCGCCTCCCGTATCACTGTCCTCTGTGATCTTTCACTGGATAGACCCACGGTAAGATGGAATATTTTAGTGTTATTTGATAAAAATGTTGTTAGAGGTGATGCGTCCATCTTCCAGTAGCTCGTAGTAAGAACCAATCAAAATGAGTGCATAATTCAGCTTATCATATCAATCGCGATAGGGCGAATTTTGTATTCGTTGTACTCACTTTAAGTTAAATTGTTGTTTGAAAGGACATTAGCTCTCGACGCACGTCCGTTATTATGGTTTGCATAGAGCACTATGGAGTATAGAGTTGGAACAAGGGTATCTGATTTGCCATAACCCGTGGAGAGTCGTAAATTCATTTTTTTCAGCTTACCACATACTCGCTACATATGAATTTAATCTCCTTCATAACGGAAAAATTTGTTTCTTTGCAAAAAATAGTACATTTCTTACTAATGCTGATGTTTGGTGCTTGCTTAAACCTGACGTCGTAATTCCTTCCACCAAATCTGGAATCTTTCTCGAACAAGCAAACGTTGTTTTCTTTTTTCAACCGCATGAGTGTCTCTGCCATGTACAATCCTGATATACCCCCACCAACCACGACGACATTGCAGGTCATTTGTTTCACGTGGGACTCTTAAAATGAAAGAAAAACCAAATGATTCCTAGCCAATCCGGAGATAAATGGACACCTCTAAGTTTAAATTCTACTCTACCCCTCTGGCCCTTTAATGATAAGGAAAACTATGAAAATTTCACGTTCATCGTCCTTAGTTTATCGTTCGGTTGCTAACCTGGAGTCCGTTTCTCAAAAGTCCTAGTAATTAAATGGGTCAAAGGTTAGGGTTGGGTTTAGGAAACAAGCTTATTCTGCTAAAATTCTCATAGATTTTCTCAAACTCAG